GGGAACAAGGCTCTGGAATTGGAATGGGAATGGGTGGAATCGGTATCTTATTCCCATTTCTGGTGGAACGATATTCAATTCTTCCATTTGAGGGAATGACCAATCCCTCCCACTCGAGAATGAAACGAAATCCCATTCCAACTGATTCCAATTCCAATTCTAATTCATATTTGAACTAAACAGACTCTAGGAATAGACCATTGCGATTTTGATTCTAACAGGGAATGGACCATTAAAATTTGAAGAGGTCCATAAGTACTTGATTTGTACCGTTACATATACATGCATGTAGTTACAACAAAACATAGAGCCTAGGAATAAGACCCCTTTAAATCCTATAACACAAAAAATTACCAAAAAAGAAAATCCTTCAACACAATAATCTTCAATTCATTTTGGGCTGCCCGGGCTGGCTACTTTGACCATTTTTTTGCCCTAGCTAGTGCATCCCATTGTTCAAAGTATCCACACATATTTGTATTTGTACTTTTTCCAAACTGAGCCTAAGGCTGTATTTGGTTGCAATGCAATTTATTCACACTAGAACAAATGTATGAGAATGCATTTGCTCTTCTTCAGTTCTTGCTTTTCTTCATTTGTATTTGTACCATAATCAAACATAATAAGGTAAAATTTGAAACAAAAATAAATTAGAATTTGTGCTACCATAATTTTACATCAGTGCAAATTTTAATTTGCACTGCAACTAAACAAAGACCGAAACTTTTCAGTATCAAGTATCCAAAACAATCGATACTCTTTTTTTTTTTTTTTATATTTTAATTTCCAGTTATAATTTGAAGATAGATATATTAAGAGGATTTAAGGGTATGGGAGACGGGCTACCCACATTTTATAGTCCCTGAAAAAGTGTCAAATGGGTAGATAAAAGTGTGCCTGCTATGCATGCTATCTGAAAAAAAAAAAAAAACATTTAACTCTACAAAAAGCTCCCGAGTTTTTGTATCTAAAGCTCCATTTGGAAGGAATGCAAATGCAAATATGTAGAGTGCAAATACATACAAAATATAAAATATTGCACTCTACATATTTGTATTTATACTCCTTCCAAACTGAGCTTAACAAACTAACATTTTCAAAACCTTAAAAATCGATATATCATATGATACGGTATGATAATTTGAACTATAGCCCACCCTAGTCATCATCCTATGTGGCTAATTCCAAGTTAATATATTGTTTTATCCAAGATGGACATTAATAGTTCACATGACCAAATGTTAATTTGTTATCATAGCACATTTGTATATTAATATTCATTAGCCCTTGGATTTAGATAACATTAATATATATTATTTTTTAATCCAGAAAGAACAATTCACATGGCAGTGTTATCATAGCACATTTGTATAGTAGTTAGTGTAATAAATCAAAGTTTTAAAAAGTGGATTGGATACGTAACCATTTTAGGGACCGGTTTTTAAGTCAAATGATCTGATCGTCTAATTCGAATAGATGGCCTGTTTTGATTTAAAAAAAATAAAAAGTAATAAAAAAACAAAAACCATTGTTTAAGTCAATGAGTCAACAGTTTAACCATCCGAATCAATAGATTACTGATCAAATCAACAGTTTTTGGCTCAGAAACGGTTCTAAAATGAAACAGAACCAATTGCCTGATCATTTTTTGGATCAACCGATCCAACTTTCTGATCCAATCCGGTTTTCAAAACCATGTGATACTCAATGAATCCTTTCAATTTCTTATTTCTATCATCATCCATCTTCAATGCTATATCTCTATTACTAAATTTGAACTAATTGGGAAAAATTATACAATAAATTAAACCTTGTTTTTGGCGTGTTTTGGACTCAAATGTCAAATGTGTAATTGAAACCGGACGCATATAAAGTAATTGAAAACAAACAAATAAAATAGTTTTCCCCTTCTCACTTGAAAACAATAAAATATAATAGTTGCTTGCATGAGCCTCCTTCCGTATGGAGAAAACTTTTCTCGCTAGATTCATCGGCATCAAGCCCTTTCTCTCAACTCTTTTGAGCTTGTCCATCGTATCGTCAATAATAATAATAATAATAATAAAACTAATCTGATATACTTTGCCAAAGAAGGAGGAAAAGAAACTTATCCGATATCCAATTTTTTGGTCAGGAATTGAAAAATGCTTTTTGTATTTTAGGGTGGGGTAGGGCGGCTATATCTTCAATACTATTATCTCTCTTTTTCTTTTAACTTAAAATTTACTTCAGGTGGAGGGGCAGGCCACCCCAAAGTTTACTCATGTGGAATTCAATTTGGATCTATTCCTCACATAGTGTTTTTCAAATCAACCTTGCAGCACATTGAAAACATCTCCCTACTTGTGTGTTGTCATTCATGGGGAGATGTTCCCAAATCCCAATACATGGTGGGGCATGCTGTGAGGTCGGTGTAACGAGCGCTCTGTAAGGCTTAGTTTCGATGTGGTGAAAATACAAAATTACACTGATGTATTTGAAAAACGGCCCATCAGATAAGTGTAAAAGATGAATCAGTCATGTAAAAGTTTTACACTGATGTTTGTTTGGAAGATCACTGGTTATCTTTTGCACTCACCTGGTGTAACGGTTAGAGTCTACGAGGACGATAACGAAGAAGAAGAAGAAGGGGAAGAGAACAGAGAAGCCAACAAGCTGCTGAACAGAAAGTGAGAGAGAAGAAGAAGAAGATGGAGAGGGGAAGAGAGAGAGAGGGGGAGCGGAAACAATGGTTGTTGATGGTGCTGTGAACGAAACGACGATGAACACAAGGAAACTGAAGTAAAAGTCCACTGCAACCGAGAGATTGCAGTCCTTGCCGGTCGGCCAAGAAATAGAGCACCGCGAGCGGCGGTGAGGCATATCAGACCCATAAACTGGTGATTGGGTGTTGCAACAGGAGAGGCTCTCGTACGTGAGCGCCTCTCTGTTCTTGTTCTGGTCGGGTCATGTTCTCATTTTCTATTCTCGTCGGAGGAAGAGAGAAGGAGAAGAGAGAGAGAGAGAGAGAGTGAAAGCTTCTAGAGATCGCCACCTCTCTGTTCTTGTTAGAGGAAGAGAGAAAGGAGAAGAGAGAGAGAGAGAGAGAGTGAAAGCTTCTAGAGATCGCCACCTCTCTGTTCTTGTTAGAGGAAGAGAGAAAGGAGAAGAGAGAGAGAGAGAGCGCACGAGCGATGTAATTAAAAGATAAAATGTTCGGTGTAAAATTACATGTTTATCAAATGTATGCAAAATCGAACCGAGGTGCAAAGTTTAACCCGGTTTGATTTTACACCTCTATCAAATGTAGCCTAAAGAACAAATCATTTACAGCAGGTTGGGCAATTGATCAAGAGTGAATGCATCAATGTTATAACATAGAACTCATGTGGAATCAAATCCAGATGTGTTCCTCACATAACACTCCTTTTACCAACCTCACAACACATTCCAGCTGCATATTGAGAACATCTCCTGTACTTGTATATTGTTATTTATAGAGAAATGTTTTCAATAAATGGGGGAATGTGCTGTGAGGTCAGTGTGAGGTGTATTCTGTAAAGAGCAAATATCAAATCCATTGAATCCACCAAATGCATATGAAAAACTGATTTGTTCACCCGTGATAGATTACTCATGCTGTGTATGAATTTTGTCTCAAACCAATCCAGACTCCCTATTATTAATGGGCTATTTTATGGCATTCATTTTGAAAAACAAGAAAATTGGTTTAAAAGTGTTTTTCGAGTTTTTTTATAGTTATGCAATATTGGACTTCATCATTAGATGCTAGATAAGCTTAATAGTGAAAAAAATGCTTTGGCATTTGGAAAATATTAAAAATAAGTTTTCCGAAACATATGATTCTCATAAAACATTTATTTAGAAATAAAATTCTCTATGGTTCAGTTTGGAAAAATTACAAATGTGACATTGAATTGACAGTGTTTTTCAAATAAATAGAAACGATACCAAACACTATCAAAACTGGTGTTTCTTTTAAGTGCATATTAGAATTTACACACATGCACTTGTGATGGAGAACACATAGATCCATTATATGCCCTAACCACTTGCCACGTGTTGCATAGTACTCTCTCGTCTGGATTGGGTTATTTTTATAATCAAATTTCTTTCATCAAATAAATAAAAATGTGATCTGTCCTTAATTTTTAATTTGCTATTTTATTTTCAGGCATGGAAGAACAACTCAGATGAAAGAGACGAAGCATCAAGCATTGCGGTGGCTCCCACCTCGACGCAAGCCAACATTCATTTCTTCTGTCCATTTCATCCATCCGTACACACAATTGGTCCCCTCAGCCCCTGATTCGGAATCACCTACCTCCAAGAACTTTACCCACATCTCCCAACGTATTAGTAGGATCTCATGTAAGTAGGCGTGGATAGAATCGTCGTGGGTAGGAGATCCGGACTCCCTCGGTACCTACGATTCGGTCAGATTAACTGTTAATTAATTGGTATATTCAATTAATTCGATTAACTGTTGATTTTCTATTTTGATTAATTGAAATTTGACTTTTTAAAAATATTGAACCAAAATTAAACCGATCAATCAATTAACCAAAATTTCGTTTCAATTTCGGTCAATTTCGCTTTTTAGATTTGATCCGATTATTTCGATTTCCCTTGCGAGTTCACATCTGTGCTCTAAGGGCGCCCTACAATGTCCCACAGCGCATCCCCGCCGTATATTGCAAATATCTCTCGATCATAACACCAAACCTATCGGGAGATGTTTCTAATACATAGCGGGGATGCGCTTTGAAGCGTCATGGGGCACAGATCTGAACTCTTTTCTTTCTCACCCTAATCACAGAATTTGGATCAACACGTTCAACACCCTCCCAACCAGACCCGTGATCACATGCCCATCCTACCGTCAGATCGGAACGGAACATAGGGATTTTGGATTCCCTCTCTCTTTTATCATTCTGAGTTCTGATAAGAGCGTTTTCGTACAGCCCGGACACATGCCAGTTACCACCACCCCTCCTCCTCAATCATCATTCTCTCATCATCCCCATTTCTCATCTATTTATAGCCTCTCTACTCATCCCTTCTCGTGCTTGAGCAAGAGAGAGAGATTTAAAACTACAAAAGTCCTTTTTTCTAGAGTTCTTCTTCACTGTTTCCGTTAGATCTCCACGGTCTCATCCTCCTTCCGGTTTCCATAAAAATCAAGATCCTCTGTTCTGCCTGCTTGTGCTTGGAGGTCCAACAGCGAGAGACATACATCGGAAGATAGGCAAGGGGGTAAAACCCGGGGCCGCCACGTTGTTGACATCACGGCTATACATAAAGTTAACCGATCTCTCATTCATGTCCGATCAGTTCGACGTAAGGGTTGTGTAGTTGAGAGCAACCCTTCGCCGCACGGAGGACGTGGTGCTTTGCCTTCCGAAGGCGGCAGTCCTTCCGATCTCCTCTTCCTCGCCGGTGGTGGTGGTCTTCACCTTGCCACCTCTTTCCTTTAGGATACTATCTTTCTTAGTAGACAGCTAGGTAGTGATTAAATAGGATTAGGGAAAAAAAGAAGAGTAGAAGACTACTTGGTTGCTCTTTACTTCTTTGCTCGATTGTTGGGGAGGTTTGCAATTGATTTTTACTGAATTCAATCATGATGTTGAGTATCAAAAAGGTTCCTACTTTGGTTTCCAATCATCAGAAGGAAGAGGGGGAGGAGTCCCGTCTTAATGGAGGGGGTTGCGGCCGTAATTGCCTTAACAAGTGTTGCATTCAAGGTACTTTGTTGTTGTTGTTGTTCTTCTTTTCTTAATTTCTGCATATTTTTTTTTTCTTTTCTCATCTTTTGGGCTAAAATTTTACCGTGTTTTCATGGTGGGGTTCGAACAGGGGCAAATCTTCCCTTGTATACTTTCAACAGGATGAACAAGAAGGTTCAAGAGAAGGGCTTGGTCGACGACGAGAAAGAGCCTCCCGTGGCCTTTCTGGAGTCCCTCATTCTTGGAGAGGTAGATTTTCCTCTTTCTTCTTTATTGTTCATATTCTCTTTCTGTCCTTGTCTCAGTTGTTACTCACTCACTCCTTGATGCAGTGGGAGGATCGCATGCAAAAAGGGCTTTTTCGCTATGATGTCACTGCCTGCGAAACCAAGGTTTCATCTCTGTTCCTTACATTTCTTGTTCTGTTTATTCACTGGTTCCGTTTTGGGTTTAATTTCTGTAGGTAGGTTTGGATCGAAACATGCATGTGACCTCAGGGTTGTAGCAGAGTGTTTAGTTCAACTGGGTATATGGGTTCGACCCCCGACTCCTTTTGCTAATATCTTTGCAGGTGATTCCGGGTAAGTACGGCTTCATTGCCCAGTTGAACGAGGGCCGCCACCTCAAGAAGCGGCCTACAGAGTTCCGAGTTGACAAGGTCCTCCAGCCTTTTGACGGCAACAAGTTCAACTTCACGAAAGTTGGGCAAGAGGAGGTGCTCTTCCAATTCGGAGCCAGTGAAGATGACGAAACCAATTTCTTCCCATTTGCTCCGATCGATGTCGACGACTCGCCGAGTGTTGTTGCAATTAACGTAAGTAGATGGACCAATCCAACGCTCTGCTGTATTCTGATTGTGCGTAAGACCCTATTTTGTGAGATGATGTTGATTTTGGGTTCTGATTTGACATAAAACAGGTTAGCCCAATCGAGTACGGGCATGTACTGCTGATCCCCCGGATTCTGGACTGCTTGCCACAAAGGATTGACCGTGAGAGCTTCTTGCTTGCCCTCCATATGGCAGCAGAAGCCGGGAATCCATACTTCCGGTTGGGTTACAACAGCTTGGGTGCATTTGCTACTATCAATCACCTTCACTTTCAGGTCATAATCCATTAATCCTTCCTTCAGCAGTTATATCTGCGATTATCTCTAAGAGCTTGGGGAAAATTGGGTGGTGGTTGTTTTTGATTGTCGTCTAACGAGAAGGCTTATTAATTTACTGTGGCAGGCTTATTTTTTGGCTGTGCCGTTTCCAATTGAGAAGGCTCCCACCCGAAGAATTACCACCACTGACGGAGGTGTGAAGATCTCTGAGCTGTCCAACTATCCGGTCAGAGGTCTTGTGTTTGAGGGAGGCAATACTCTGATTGATTTATCTAATGCTGTATCTGAATCCTGTATCTGCCTTCAAGATAACAACATCCCTTACAATGCCCTCATCTCTGACTATGGGAAAAGGATTTTCCTGTTGCCTCAGGTAATAAGCTTTGACACCATTTTTGTTTGTTCTCTGCTACAGTTTATGGTTTATACCATTTGAGCTTTTTGTCTGGGCACATCTCATCTGGGATGCTGATCGACTTCGCTGCTTGAAACAAATACAGTGTTATGCTGAGAAGCAAGCACTTGGGGAGGTAAACCCAGAGCTTCTTGACACTCAGGTCAACCCGGCTGTGTGGGAAATTAGTGGCCACATGGTGTTGAAAAGGAAACATGACTATGAGGAAGCAACAGAGGAGAACGCATGGAGGCTCCTTGCAGAGGTCTCCCTCTCTGAAGGGAGGTTCCAGGAGGTGATGGCTATGATTTTTGAAGCCATTGCTTGCAATGTTGATGCAAATGAAAGCATCGCTCTGAGCATTGGAGAGAAAGCAGCTGATGGGAATCAAGAAACCAACGCTACAATGATCCCTGGGAAGCAGGAATGCCTTGTCCAGTATTAGTTGATGTGTGCCAAGAACTGGGTGAGTGTGGTAGATGTATTGTGGTCAATCCTGGTGGTAACCTAAATAAAGGGAACCGTGTTTGCTTTTCGCCATTGTCATTGTTGTTCTGGTGTCTTGTCTTGGTAATCAGATGTCTTCTATGCACAGTTTATACCTAATTGTACTAGTTCCAGATGAACTTCCCTGTACTTCAGCCTTGAGGATAGTTCTACCTCTACGGTTATTTATGTGGTTCTTTCTCCTGTAAAAATTAATGGATATATATATATATATATATACTAATTCCTTGTTATCTATCTTTCTCCTCCACTTTTTTTGTAAAAGTGAAAAATGGATGGAATGAGACAAACAAAACAATCTATTTGCTTTTCTGGGTTTCCTGTCATAAAGAGGGTCTCCCTTCATTGAAGGCGATGAGCAGCGGCCTTAAAGATTAAATTAAAGGCACCAATAATAGAGTTGCTCATCCTTAAAGATTAAATTAAAGGCACCAATAATAGAGTCTCGGTGGCAGCAAATTGGCAAGTTGGTCCAATTTGGCCCTCTTCAACTTGTAAAAATTCCATGGCTGAAGCTTGCAGGTTGCAACAACAACGGGGACCCTGATCTCCGCCCGAGGGATTCATTAAGGATTAGGGATGACAATTTTCCTATTCCCCACCTTGTGGGAACTCTGATCTCTGCCTGTGGATCCTTACATATATATATTAATAAAATTTGTTTGAATCTTTTTTAATATGATTATAAATTTTAATTATTTTATTTTTATTATTTAAATAAAAATAAAATGATTAATATTATAAAAAATCATGGAAAATGGAACTCCCGCGGGGATGGGGATTTTGGCAGGGACGAGGATGGGGGAGAGGCTCTATCTCCCCGTCCCGCCCCGTTGCCATATAATTCTGATAATGACGATGAGATGCGAATTATATCAACACTCAAAATTCAGATGGGTTCTCTAACACAGGAGAGTAGGAGACCAATGTTGTTAGTCCAGTTTACAAGAGTTGAAGACTTATTAGAAGCAGCAGTGCAGAAGCCATAAGAAGTAGAGCGCCTTGCAGATTTTTCCCACACTAATGCAAAATCAGGTAGTAGAACAGAACTAGTTGGGTATCTCAGATTATGTATATCTTCTTGTTAGGGCATGAAATCGAGAAATAACAACCACATATTCAGATATTTTGGACCTAATGAACTGTACAATTGGTCGGAGATGCCCACCAAAGTTGAATTTCCCAATGATTTTATTGTATTGATGATCGATCAACCTCAATTCTGTTCGAGGCTGGTATCAGAATCACTTGTTTACTTACTAGGGGCTTGATCCGATTTCAGTTTCAACCAGACCGGTTGATTTATAAGACACTTCCCAATTTCAGAGTCACCGGATCATTTTAATCTTCATGAACCAGAAAACAAACAAATGGATGTACATGAGAGCACAGCAATCCAGAGCCTACGTTACACATTTTGTCTCTCCCGAACGAACCCTGCAACCCTTCTATTGGAACTCCGTTATTGCCCAAAATGCCACTCACAATCCGCAGAATTCTGTCTCCCTCTACAAGCAAATGCAAGCACTGTCTATCCCACCCAACAACTTCACTTTTCCTGCCTTACTCAAAGCCTGTGCCGCTCTCGGCCATCCTCGCACGACACAGCAAATACACGTGCATGTAACCCGCCGAGGCCTTGCTTCCGACAAGTTCACCGTTTCTGCACTTATCGATGCGTATGGCAAGTGTGGCAGCGCAAGTGACGCGAACCACGTGTTCGATGAAATCCCCCAACAGGCAATGGATATCGTTTCATGGACCTCCCTTGTGTCGGCCCTTTCTTCCAACGGTTGTATTAGCAAAGCCTTTGAAATCTTTTCTCGGATGAAACATTCAGCTGATCCACAATGCTGTAAAGGTGATATTGTTGGCCTTGCTTCGCTCGTCTCGGCTTGTACAGCAGCTGTAGATGATGGCTTGAATTGCTTGTCCTTTGGTCAGGCAGTTCATGCGCTTGTTGTTAAACATGGGTTCGAGTCAAATACCAGATTGAGTAACTCTCTCGTACATATGTATTCCGTGTGTGAAGCAATGGCCGATGCATCGAAGGTGTTTGATGGGATTATGATTGAGCTCAGGGACGTGGTGTCTTGGAATACATTAATTTCTGGGTTTGCGCGGAATGGGGAACCTGAACGGGCATTGCAAACATTTAACGAAATGAAGTCAATGGGGCCGATGGCAGTAGCAACAAATCGGATAACTATGATTGCGCTCTTGAAGTCTTGCGCAGATCTGGGTTGTGCCGATACGTCTCGTTGGATCCACAACTACATAGCTTCTCACCATTCGTCACTCTTGTCATCTAACGATATTGTGGTTTTGACAGCCCTCATTGATATGCATTCAAGGTGTGGAAATCTAGAATGGGCCCAGAAGATATTTGACAAAGTTGAGAAGAAGAATGTGGTCTGTTGGAGTGCTATGATTGCTGGCTACGAGCAGAGCTTCTGCCCCGAGGAAGCTCTGTTTCTGTTCCGCAGAATGCTAATGGAAGATTGTAATGAGGGTATTGATATTAAGCCCAATGTAGTTACCTTGTTGAGTGTTATTGCAGCCTGTTCAGCTCTTGGTGTCTCAAGGCCAGCAAAGGTGATTCACAAGTATGTTCTGGCAACAGGACTAAACACTGATGCTCGGGTTGCTTCGGCACTCGTAGATATGTATGGAAAATGTGGGGATATAGAGCTTGCGCGGCAGGTATTCAGTGAGACAGATGACTTGAGCAAAACCTTGATCTCATGGAGTGCTATGATTGGAGCAGAGGGTCTGCATGGTGAGGGACAACGTGCTCTTAATCTCTTAAAAGAGATGAGGGCCAATGGGTTTCGGCCCAATGAAGTAACATACATCTCAGTCTTGTCTGCATGTAGCCATGCTGGTTTGTTGGAAGAGGGTAATTCCTGTTTTGATAGTATGGAGAGAGAGGATGGGATCTCCCCTACCACAAAACACTATGCTTGCATGGTTGATCTCCTTGGCCGAGCTGGGCATCTCGATGAGGCCTATGGCCTTATCTGCAGCATGGCTGTTGAGGCCGATTTAGCTGTCTGGGGGTGTCTACTTGCTGCTTGTCATCTTCATAGCAATTGCAAGCTTGGAGAGGTTGCTGAGAAGGAAATTCTGAGTTTGGACTCACATTCTGTGGGGCATCGTGTTCTTCTGGCAAACATGTATGAAGAAGCTGGAAGATGGGATGATGTAATTAGGATTAGAGTTGAATTGAAAAGGAAAGGGTTGCGGAAGATTGCAGGCCGAAGCTTTATTGAGATAGGGAACAAAGTTTATAGCTTTTTGGCAGAAGATCGGTCTCACCATGAATCGGAAATGATATACAAAGAATTAGATGCTCTAGATGAGAAGGTGAAGGATGCAGTCAAGTATGACAGAGAAACCAATACAGAAGTAGAAGACATAGGAAGTGTAATTACAAGGTGCAAGTATCATAGTGAGAGATTGGCCATAGCCTTTGCATTCATGATTTCAAACAGAAATAGTTTCAGCAACAAAAATTGCAGAAGAACTAACGACTATTTAGCAAAGGAAACAGAAGCCTATCCTCCTATTCGGATAACCAAGAACCTACGAGTCTGCAGGGATTGTCATTATTATACCAAGTTATTTTCTAAGGTTACCAAGAGAGAGCTCATTGTTAGGGATGCTCATCGTTTTCATCACTTCAAAGACGGGCTTTGTTCATGTGGAGATTACTGGTGATCAATGAATAAAGTAAATGTTCTTATAGTGGAATGCCAATGATTACAGTAAAGATGACCATCTATCTCATAATGGATCTACATTGCCAGGTGGTTTCTGCTTAGAGATAGTGGCATTTTCCAATGTTTTCGAACCGCCGTTATCCAGATGATTGGACCGTTCAACCCGGGAATCGTTCAGGCAACCGGTTCCATTTTACCCCAAACCCAATTTCTAGCCAAAAACTGTTGAATTGGTCAATGGGTTTTTGACCTGAGTGATCGAGTTGTCAACCTGTTCAACTCGATGAATGCTTGTTTGGCTGTTTTCATTTTAATTATTTTAATTATTTTAATTATTTTTAATTTTTTATCAGAACAACCTGTTCAACTCGATGAATCCATTCAAACCAGATGGCTGAACCTCCGACCTGGAAACCAGTGACTAGAACAGTTTCGGTTCCGGTTCCGTTTTTAAAAAAGTGAATTACAACTTGAAGGATAAGAATGGAGTGTGAAAGAAAATTGTACATTCTGCAGGGGGAAGAAAGGTTGAGTTAATATATGCACATCTTTTTATGCATGGGGCAAGGGAAAAAAATTGCTCAACCACCATCTACTTGTTAGACATGAAGGCCCATGGTGCTGTTTCTTGTGGAAAAGATGGGAAACAACAGTAATTTGATTTCTCTGCAATTTCAAGTCAAGACCTTTTGATAAATGAAATGATATATAAGAATTCATGTAATCATATCTATCCACATCGCCCAAATAAAACGATCCCAACAATCGTAATAGTCAGGTTGTACTCCCTTGTGAACTAGTAGCTGTAAATATAACTGGACAACACAGGTTTCTGTTTTACAATAAACTTTCACATGGAATACTTCATAATAAAAATCTTATCTCCCAATTTACACAACTAAATTTACTTAACGATACATAATGATTTATGAAGGCAAATCTTTTCTTCTTCCATTTGTTCTCTTTCTTCTTTTTGGACACTACCCCATAGTGGTTCACATGAATCAATTTACAAACTTAACTAAAACATTTGCTTATTGTAGAGTGACGAATTCAAGGTAAGATTAAGTTGGATTTCTTTCACACGTAGCACCTGCAGGCAGAAGCATCAGTACGGATCGTGTGGCATCTGCTACCTTCCTGACATTAGATTTACTAGAGCTTGGTTCTCATAGAAGGTGCCAACATCCCAATCTCCAGTTGAGGATGAAAGTGCCATTAATGCAACACCAACGGACCTCATACTCGGTCTTTGAGCTGGAGTCTCATGTGTGCAAGCCCTCGCAAGCTGGGCCATCTGTAACCGAAAAGGTCATCATGGCTTATTATTTTATTAGGATTGTTAATTTAAATCTTAGCAACACCCTCTGTAAGGTATGCTCTCTACCTTATGAACTGAGTCAAGCGGGCAGTTGTCCCCAAGCCTTGGATCAACAAGTTTGCGGAGATTTTCTTTTGGCTCTGGCTGGCTAAGAACATCCTCAAACTGCATGGCATCATTAGCATGGCAAGCATCAAGTGTCACTAGATTTTACACATATGTAGTTTCATCATTGGTAATCAATTTATAATTAGGACAAGGGCTAAGAGAAATTACCAGACCAACAAGTCCCTTTGATTCAGTCTCAGATCCATTTGTCCTGACTATAGCTTCCTTAGCTGAAATAAGTTCGTACAAGACAACTCCAAAAGCATAAACATCTACCTTTGGAGAAACATCACCATATTGAGCGTACCTACATGAAGCACAAGTAATGGTCGATTTATATTTTCATGAAATAAGATGAAATAAGCGTCTCTCAGGAGTTTATTTTACATCATTTCAGTGTGTGTGGTCCAGCCTAACAATTTTTTTCTGTCAAAAACTAGTTTTAATACACCTATTCTTGTTACCACCCTGCACAATGAACATGGCAAACTGGCAACCAAACAATCTACGATAAAAGCTATCTCGCACCAACAACAGCCCGTGATTTCCTTTTTCTTTTTAATTCATAGATATTTATTATTAAAAGTGAGACAGGCCTTAAGATAGTGAATCGTAGATGGAAGTAAATTTTACCAAGTATCTCTCCATGTACTACTATGTATGGAGTACTATGGACCGATCTGGTTTTGTTTACTTGAGAGTTGAGGTTTCTTGTGTTATTTGTTTTAAGTCTCTAGTATATGCCAATCTTTTCCTTATGTTTCCTTTTCTTCATGATGATTATGATGCCTTTTATTTGTTTTTTTAATTTCTTCCCTCAAGCTCTGTCTATTTCACCACTATAAAAGGAGCAGATTTTTTTTAAATGTGCACTTTTTCGTCATATGCCCGTCTCTTTTATGGCATAAACTATTTTCCACCCATTTTACATGTAAACAGGCACAGCCTTAACAAAATGCCCAAATAGTTTTTTTTTTTTGATAACTAATGTTCAAATAGTATTGATGGCGAAAGGGGTTGTCAACCATCTATAATCCTCTTCAGCTAAAATGAAGGACAGTAAAAACCATTTAATCTGATCAATAATGATCTTACTAGATAAAACTTTTTAATTCATTAAACTAATTCCTTCATTAAATTATCCCTAATTGTGCTTTCCCAAGATCATCGCCTCCTCTTTATTCCAGAGTAATCTATTTCTTAAAACCATGCATTCTTTTGGATATACTCAGGTGGAGGCGGAGGGACTCATACATGGTTACAGGTTGGGACTTGGGAGAGAGGAAGGACTTTGGCTGTTCTGCCAACATGTCAAGGAGGCTACTGGGCCATATCCTTGGCCTCCAGATTGAAAATCTCATTCTGCTGGATGGTAGACTGTTTAGTAGTCCAGGCATGTATTGTACCGCTTCCCACTAAAAAAAGGAATCTATTGTACTTCTTGTGTTGGGCTCAGGTATTTCATGTCGATTCTTGATCATCTTTTTCTGTTGGTCTTCTATTTTTTTATTACTGTACTTGATTATTATTCTCTGTTATAGATAAAAGAAAAGGAGCCATTACTTGGTCTAATGGTAAAATCCTGGACTAACAAGTATGATAATGTGGATTCAAGTCTGAGAGCAGCCACTGTGTGCAAGAATGCCAAAGTTTAGGTCTGCACCCAGTCCACCATTCCCAAGATCCAAGATGGTTGGGACCAACATTCAGCAATAGCCTTTTAGATAAAGAAAACCCTCCTAACTTCCCCAGTGATTTATAGAATTCAGTTGATTTGTTTCAGAAAAATAATAAGATGTCTTTCAATGTATTTTAATGAGGGTCCTGCCTAAGTGGGACAAGGTCACAGTTTGAGTGTCATTTCTAGAACAACTAAACCGGTTAGTCATATTAGACAAATCTTTATTGGTGCCTTTAGCTAATTCAATACTCAACAGTTTCTTCCTGCATGTAGTTGTCATACTTTCTACAGATGTAATACCATGATTTATGGGATGATCACAATAAATCTCCAGTTACAGTAAAGGAAATATACCAGTAAACTTATTTTAGGTCAGTGCACCTAAGGAAACCCAGATTGTTGAATGCCATTACTTTTTTTTCTTGCCTTTTATATAAAATAGAAGAAGAAAGATCATAAAACAGTCAATAGCAAATGGAAGAACATATCAGAACAAACAAGCCAATAAGAAGTGATCTTACTCAGGGGGCATGTATCCAAATGTACCCGCTAGACGTGTTGACAATGAAGCACTTCCAACTTCAGTGAGCTTTGTCAATCCAAAATCTGCAACCTAAAAGGTGTATACTTTGGTAAAAATAAAGTAAATGAATTATAAAGTATATGTCTTTCCTGGAAAAGAGATCACCACAACCTTTCCATGGAAGTTCTTGTCTATCAAAATGTTTGCTGATTTAATATCACGATGGATGTATACAGGAACAGTATGCTCATGGATATATTCAAGACCTCTTGCTGAATCAAGGGCAATTTGCACCCTAGTAGACCATGTGAGTGGTTCCCTCCCTGAAATCAGAGAAGAATACACCATGGTCAGTTGAAAAAAATATTAACTTATTAAAGTAACAATTTTAAGGTACAGTTGTGCACTACTGAGCCTTACCGAAGCCATGCAAATGTTGGCTCAAGTTTCCATTATCAATAAATTCATAGACTAAGCACAAAGAACCCTCAATGCAATAACCTATCAATCGCACCTGCATTCAATTATAAGAATAAAACATGAATACATACTGACACATATTAAGGGTATTCTAGGTAAAATATTAACACTACCCCTTGAAAATCCAATGACTGTCTGACTTTGATATGCATCCAACATGGAAACTTTGTTCATTTAGGAGTCCATGAAACATTTGTTGGTTGAATACAGATAAATTGATGTTGTCTGCCTCCTAGACAACTAAGTTTTGGTGAAGTTTCTAAATGCTTGAGCTAGATTTTCAAAACATAGCTGTGATAACTTAAATAGGTATGTTACTATCTTTGTGTCTATCATCAAACATAACATTGAGATTTGAGAATATTTTCTACAATGACATTAGCAAATGGTGGAGAATGCATCTGTGTATTGAAATGACAGATATTCAAATATTTTGCTCAAACAAGTCAATACCAGGTTCAAGTGATGAACACGTGTCAGAACCTTCAACTCAGCAAGGAATTCCCTTGATGCTTTCATATCCATCTTCTTGATTGCAGCTTTCTGCATAAAAAAATTTGTTGAAGAATGGAAAAGAAAAGACCTTCAGCTTCAAGAAAAATTAACATGGCCAAGATATTTTAAAGACTGAAAATCTAATACAGAACCTTTAAGTTCCCCAACTATATAAAGAAAATCAACTACGCCAAAGTTAAGAGGGTAAGGCAGAAGAGGTTCATATAGAACAAAGAGGCAAGTTATGAAGAGGTTCATATATAATGAATACAAATGATGTAATGACTACTGATGCCAAATTCCATCACATACTGCTTTTACGATGACAAATAAGAACAATAGAAAATCCAGATGCTAATAGAACAATTTATTTCCTTCCATAATCAAGGGGAGTGATTTGACAATATCCCATTTTTGATAAAGGGGGCACACCCCTAATCATTACTCAAAGAGTACATTCATCAAACAACAAGCACCCCCAAAAGGTAACAAAGAGTGGTTTCTTTGTCTTTCATAAGGGATTCACCTGGTTTATCAAAAATAGGATGTCCCTTACACCAAAATCAATCTTTCCTGTTCACTCTACTCTCTCTCTCTCTCTCTCTCTCTTTTGGAGAAAAAGGAAACTTTCATTAAACAAAAAGGGGGGGGGGGGTGTGTACAAAAGATGATGCATAATAGGGCTTAGCAACAAAAAGAAAAAAGCCCAGTCAATGAAGAAGTAATCTGTTAGCACTATATAATGTGTCCCTTCCCAACCCAGATTTCGCCAAAAACGTCTCTGATGTGATTAAGGTTTCTTGGAATGTATCCTGTTCACTCTTTTTTCAACTCAAATGCACGTCAAAATGTCACTTCTCTTATTCAATCTCCATAAATCCCCTAAACAAGTAAAATTTCAAAGATTGAAGCATGAGTAACATATTTAATTTTCAAATATAATTAATTACACAAGTACCAACTGCACTTCTCATGTAATTTTTTGATTGGTAATGCACTTATCATGTACTTTGTGATGGATGCCTGAGATGGATCAAGTTGCACCCTGAAGTATAAATTCCCAATATGACTTTTAATGGAAAAAAAGCAACTAATGTTGAATATCTGAAAGTCATCACAATTGTTTTTATGTGTCACTGCAAAAACATGAAAACTTGGTCTTTCTTCTCTCCTCTTCACCATACAGTAGTTTTGAATTATAGTGTTGACAATCTTCTCCAGGGATGGTAGTGACAGCGGTTGGACCTTTCTGGGAATGATTCTTTTGTTATATACTGGAAAATGTGGAAAGTGAAACTATAGGGCTTTCGAGAGGAAAAGTTGGCTCAAGCAGTCAGTAGTCGATCAAGACTACAGTCAGTCTTGAATTCCAAAAGATTTCGGATTGAGAAAAGTAGAAGAAAGGAGAAGAAAGCAGAAGTACACAAGGGTTTTGAAAGGAGGGACAGATCGAATGAATCTGCCGCCGCCACTTTCTTAATATTTATAGGTTATGTTCACTAAATATAGGAAAGGGCA